CGATTTTCGATTGCCGCGCGCGCGGGTCACGTAAAACGGTAAGAGGCTACTTCAGATTATGTCATCGAATGGCCGCCGATGTATATGCACGGGGACCGAGAATCGAAAATGAAAAGAGTCAATGGTGTGTTAGATAAAATGCTTCCCGTAAGTGATATTGCCGCGTTCCTTTCAGAATTGTATTTATGCCGTGGACAAGGGCAGGGAGACCCTGTCGTCCGCCATTTAACGCCGAGAAATGCAATCCTGGAAATAGGTTATAGCACGCGTTAAAATGACATCTGCATACAGGTGGTGGTAGTCGATTGAACGACTGTTGCGCGATTCAAAGGGTACGGCCGGATATATAAGGGGTCAAAAGTGGCCTTCAATAGAACGAGATCGGCGAAAGACAGTTTACAAAGAAAATACATTTTGCGCCGAGTTAGAACCCTCTATTTTCACGAGGTCGAGGGCTGCAAAAAGTCGGATTAGCTGTTTTTTGTTCCGCTTAATCCTACGCGAGGATACTGAAAAAAGTTGGCAGGTGGCAGTCACGTGTCAGGAATTCTTTTTCGGACTTTGGATTAATAATTTCAGTTAAAAGGTATCGACGGCTTTAAGGGGACTTAATAATAATATATATACATAAATATATAAAATAATATATCTTATTATTATAATATATTATAATATAATAATAATATAATATTATTAATATTATAATATTATATTATATAATAATATATATATTATTATTATTAAGTCCCCTTAAAGCCGTCGATACCTTTTAACTGAAATTATTAATCCAAAGTCCGAAAAAGAATTCCTGACACGTGACTGCCACCTGCCAACTTTTTTCAGTATCCTCGCGTAGGATTAAGCGGAACAAAAAACAGCTNATATATATATCGAATTAAAGAATTTCAAGCGAAACGGAATATTAAGGCAATACCGATTGAAATAATTTATCCGATTAAAACCATCGTTTAATTTTCATTTAATAGAAAGTAGAACTTATTCGAAAATGTATTTGTTATTTTAGACAGTTTTTCGGACAGGGACATTTCGAAACCATTGACTACCGTAGTGGTCCCAATGGGACGACGGGAACACGATTTTTCAATTTAGGATCGATCTATTCATTCTCGATCATTATTTATCCTCGAACCTGTTAGCACTACGCGAGTCACTCTGGGCGCCATTTATTTTTGAAATACAAATCCGCGGTAAGTAGAATGCACATCCCTCGTCCTGGTTTTTTATGATGAAATATTCCGAGTGTGGCACATTTTTTGTTGAAGTGGAATTAATGTGACAATGCCGACGCGGCGTAATGCAGTCACAGCTAAAATGAACGAACGTGCGTCTGATTGTAATTGGTTCATGTGTGCTGTCGCCGTCATTCGTGACGTGGCCAGCATTGAAAATTGTCCTCTATCCTTTATTTTTCCAATACCGTTCATGAAATATAATATTTGAATACGCAATCAGTGTAAAGGAATCTTTCGACGCGGTTATTACCACAATGAAAACTTTTAATGCATCTAGGAGTACCCACGCAAATGCCACAAAAGTCGTCCGCGGAATTCGTTCATTTAAAAAGATCTGTTTTTCTTTTTTCAGTATGTGTATGAAGTTACTTCATCGCCAGTATTTTAATTAAAACGCAGGACATAATATACGATAGAAGAATGGAAATTGTTTGTTACAAACAGGAGAAGCCTGAAGATGGTACAAAATTAGCGAACGAATGTTGCACTATACAGAGTAGTAATCCTCAGTAATTATGAAAGCAAGGGCTGTGTTTGAAGTGGTAGCCGGAAATATTGTTGCTAAAATTGCTACTAACAATAAAAAGATTTACCAAATGAAGAACAAGCCAATGTTCAGAAGAAAACATTTCTAAAAGAATCCAATTGGAGATGAGTTGCTCGATATAAAATTAAATATTACATAAGAATTGTATATATTCTCATTCTATATTATTATAAATATAATATATATTATTATTATATATATTATATTATATTATTATTATTATATATATTATAAATATAATAATATAGAATGAGAATATACGATTCTTATGTAACATTTAATTTTATATAGAGCAACTCATCTCCAATTGGATTCTTTTAGAAATGTTTTCTTCTGAGCATTGGCTTGTTCTT